CTGATGGTGGAGCAACTGGTGGAATGAAGATTGGCAGGAGAAACCGAAGTACTCGGAGAAAACCTACTCCAGCGCCACTTTGTCCACCACAAATCCCACTTGACCAGACTCGGGATAGAACCCGGGCTGCCGCGATGGGAAGCCAGCGACTAACCGCTTGAGCTATGGCGCGGCCTAATTATGAGGTAAGTACAAATTAAAAAACATAATTTACAAAATACAGAAAAAGCCAGAAGTATTAGGTATGGCAGAATTTCATACAATCTTGAAACATCAACCAAACTGAAACAGAATTTTGAGAAGGAAACTTCTATAACGATGCTAGTACTGTTTTGCAATATTTCATCGAAGGACATAATATAGGAAAGGCACCAACATTTGATGTGACTTACGTAACGACGTTTTCAGTATCTCAGANTATTAACGGAGGGGCATGCGGTAACGTTGTTAGTTCAGGTACTAAGCTAAGAGCCTGAAGGTCGCGGGTTCGGCTTCCGATGAGGTAATTGGATTTTTCAATTGACTTAATCCTTCCTGCCGCATTATGGCCCCAGGGTAGACTCAGCCTCTAAAAGAAATGAGTACTAGGAATCTTCCTTGGGGTAAAGGGCGGCCGACGCGTGAAGCTCACCGCCATCTGTCAGACGATTATCTAGAAAATGTGAGAGCCTCGACGTCTAACAACCTTTTAGGGCGCCACGGCCTATTACAGGGATAGCTTTACTTTAACAGCGTGAGAGTAGCTGAGAGTACATAGCATGCAATGATTACATGAGAGTATATTATGAAGTCGATAGGACGTTGAAGTTATTGTCGTCTTTTTCTGGTGGGAAGTTCGATCATAGCATCTGTCCGAGTGTAGCCAGTCTCCCATCTGATCCGAACTCCGGACTTTCAGAATACGAACCAGAGGGTCTATAAGGAACGAAGTTCGATTATTATACATCGAAACAATCCTGAACTCGCTGAGAAGAGAATACGGTAAATTACTCTAACTTTACTGTGTTTGTAGACCCAAGAGAGGCAGCTGAATCTCCTCTTATTCGACAAATGATACCAAGATTGGAATTAATTACGAGAAACCATTTCGAAAATATTTGCTACATTATCAAAGGATTATTAACATCAGAGCATAACCTACAAATTCGCAATCCTGCGACAAGTGATGAGAACTCGTACAGTTGTCCCTATGCTTAACTAATTAAGCACTACGCCATGAAGGCGTATGGGGGAGTGAATGTATATGTCCATATTTTCTTGACCTCGGCACTAATTTGAGGTGAATGGTCAGCTTCACGCCCCGGCCGCTTTACTTCCGGGGAAATAGCGCCCAGTACCCATTGGATAGGAGGTGGGATGGGTCCCAGAGTCGATCCAAAGGACGTGGAGAAGAGAAAGTTATTGACCTTACCGGGACTCGAACCCTTTATATCCCTCTTCCTAGTAAAGGTTATAATTACCGTCTTGTTTGGATTGATAGACAAGTGTGTCATAAATCCGTTTCCAGGATACGAGTAGTGAAGACTGAGATTTCTAGTCTGAGTGTAACGGTGAACTATAAATTTTGTAGATCAGCAATTTGCGTTGTGTTGTCTGTAGTCCCGAAGTGTGTTAATAAGGTGTCAATAAATCCAATTATCCAATCCGGAACCCGTCTATAGGTCACGCCTACAAGTAGAAGATTTCTACCTTGAATGTAACACCTACAATATGATAATATCAGTGTTTAGCCCATCTCTCCTGTTTCAGATTCCAAAAGTGCTTCTGTCCGGTGACAGCGTATCTGCCTCCTTTGGAGGTTACCACGCCAGTGCCGGTTTAGGTGGAACCCTGGACGGGGGCCCTGCTGGGGGTCTATTTGCAGAGGCAGGTACTCCAGATGGTACAGGCGCATCAGCAGGGCTTGGAGGTTCAGTGGGTTCAGGAGGGGTCCTGTACAGCCAGGCTGGTGTCGGTGGCGAAGCAGCCACGGGGGGCGCTGCTTCTTCAGCGACGTCTTCAGCGGGCACTGACAACCGCCTGCCGCGCCCCACGAAGCGGCCCGCTGATTTCTACGATAACGTGTTTAACGTGAGTATCTTAAAGTCTACTCCGTGTAGAGGCGGGTTAGAGTAGCGTGTCGAAGAAAGCGAGGAAAAGGGTGTATAACTGAGACACCCTCTCACTGGGGGACATAAATTCAGGGTGCAGGTCCTCCAGGTTGGGGGACGTAAAGCTGACGACCTCGCTATACAACAAATTATTGTTGCAAAATCTAAAGAAGTGAAAACCCAGACGGCAAATCTGGCAGAATCCTCTAAGGAAGACTGCGGCTGAAAGAGTGTTGATATGACAATGATGATGATGAAGAAAGCAGTCTTCTGGGATTTGGCACCGTGTATATGTGGTGTTAACCGACGTTTCGGAGGAACGTATCGCCTCCATCTTCAGGGTAGGAGAAAAAATATAAGAAATCTGCAATGTACACATAGCTGTGTATATTTCTAACACAGTCTGCTTTTACCGATTCTCACGGTCTCTTCGCTTGCAGATTTCTTATATTTTTTCTTCTACCCTGAAGATGGAGGCGATACGTTCCTCCGAAACGTCGGTTAACACCGCATATACNAAACCGAAATTAACGGCCGTGGGGATTCGCTGCGCTGGCCACGCGACACCCTCTATCCTCAAAAGTTGGCACTAAACTTCGCCGACAAGCGGCGGTTGCTCGGTGGTATAGTTCGCCTGCGGACTAAAATCATCGAGTATTTTATTTATAATATTTAATAGTATTCGATGAAAGTGGGAAAGCAAACCGTTGATCTGTAATGTGCGGTTGGCTGAACTAACGAATTAACTGCATGCAGCTGAGTCTTTCTTGATAAACCTCTAGTCGCTCACCTACATAAAGAATTTCCAAACATTTTACGGAACCCGAGAGCTTATTACGGTGTTCACAAGGCCACTGGTCCCTATCCTGAGCCAGATAAATCCCTTCCATTCAAACTCATCCTATTTCTCCAAGATCCATTATTATATTATCCACCCACATATGTTTAGGTCTTCCTAATGGTTTCTTTCCTTCTAGTATTCCCAACAAAATCATATATGCATTCCTTTTCTCTCCCATGCGTGCAACATGCCCTGCCTGTCTCATCCTCTTTAATTCGATCATTTTAATAATATCTGGCGAAGCGTTCAAGTTACGAACCTCCTCATTATGCGAATTTCTCCAACCTCCTGTCATTTCATCCTTTTTGGGTCCAAATATTCTCCCCAGCACCCTGCTCTCAAATTCTCCTACCTTCATTTCGGTTGTCAGAGACATACTGACATCCATGCTCAAGGATTTATTGTCATAAAGTAAAATACTTGGTACTTTATTTACCTAAGCTCAAGAAAGCATTTCGACTCATACGCAACTTATAGTGTGTTTCTAAATAAATGTCGAGTTTTCCGTGGCCTATAATTTTCAGACCTTTAATGCTATGGAAGGCGCACATGTTGAAGTTATTTTGCATTCCACGATATTAATTCTAAGAGAAATGAAACTTTTTGAGTTACACTTTCAGATTATGTCAGAAGTTTTATTTTATTGCTTCCGGTTTGAAAATTGTGAGCCATAAAAACCACGACAATAATTCAGAATAACTCTCTACATAATTAGATACCAAGGGGTTCACATATTCACAATAGAATGAAATCATATTTAGCAGTGTTTCCATAATATCCTATATTAAAAGAAAAGTAAAACACAGGTTTCAAGAAGAACTTCTAAATAAGGACTCTTCATTGAAATGACTACAGCTGCTGACAGAAATGCTATAAGCAACATAATGATCATCACACGAAGTGTATGTCATTTCCTCGTCATGCTTACTGTCAGCTCTTTCGTGATATTGCAGTTTGGGTTCTGCAGTAACCGTCTGCCAGCAATTGTTACTACCTGCAATCTGCGCTTACAGCGCTCTAACGTTTCTCCGTGTTACCATAATCTCACGCAACTTCATTACAGTATAATACAGAAAGAAATAAACATGTTTTTGAGTAATGTAATAATCAGATTCGTAAACAGCTGTTTTAACGTACCATGTCAGATAAGGCACCTGTCCTCTTCTGTTTTACCCTTCAGCAAATCGTCTAATATTGTCACGTGTAGGGGTGACTATAGATGGAGATTGGATTGATTGATTAGATTTACTGGACCTTATATATTCACAACTCAGAACTTCAGGCTGTAGAGCGCTATCGCTATTCTACACATATTACAGTTTACAGTTACACACGCGCTAGGATTCTCAGTCTTCACTAGTCGTATCCTGGCAACGGATTTATAGCCGTCTCACTGTAACTTCAAATCTCACATGAAGTCTTCTTTGCACAGTGTAATCTTTTCTTCTCAATCACCTTCGACTGCCGTCTCCAGAACTCGATCAAATTTTCGCCAAAAAATCTCTTAAACGACATTCTCTGTCCATTTATAACCTCTAGGCAAGGACCATGCAGAAAACACAACATCTTTATCGTATACGTTTGTTTAATGATCCGTTGTCTAGCAATGAACGTCCTATTTCTGTGCGCGCACTCTTCCGTTGGAATGTGTTCACCGAGTCGTTGCCTAGCAGTTGGTCTGTATGTCACAATATTTAAAATCACTGCGTCACGCAAAGTTATCCACAACAGATCGAAGACCGCTGCTGTGTGCATGTTCTTTAATATTCCCCACTTCGATCTATTCCACACAACAAATTCAGAGTCACAGTAGCCCAATATAGACTGATAACCTGTTCGTATTCGGGCGCCGAACAGTGTCTCTAGCGATCACGTCCACGGAGACAAAACAAGGTCTTGCGCCACAGAGGTATGATGCGCGGTTCCAAATGTCAGCTCACTACGTTTCAGCTGTGCTAAAATACGTGCAGACACTTCCATGTTGCAACCAGCATTACTATTTGCTACCTTGGACTGTAACGTACTTACGTGGATCCTAGTCTATTTTTTACTGCCGCTATAATTTATACGGAATTCGTAACTATTCATGGATTTCCTTAAGTATCGCCTGTTGATGGCCTCTCTGGACAGAAACATGTTCAGAACTGATAAACAAAAGCATTTGTTTTGTGACAATCATCATCATCAGTAATCTGTCAGACGACAGGTCCACAGTCTCTTCCAAAACAATTCCTCCACTTAATGCGATCTAGAGCTTTCTCCTTCAAATGACAGTATCCTCTTCTGTCCCCAAGGTCATCCAGCATCTTCTTACGTCTTCTTCCTCGTCTTCTTGTCACTTCTATCCGCCCCTCTATCTTTCCTTCGATAACTTCTTTTAGAAGGCAGTTTCTGCGTAAAACATGACCAATCCAATTAGCCTTCCGTTTTCTTATTTCGTGTAGGATATTCCTCTGCTCACTGACTCTAATTAACACTTCTTCATTTCTCACATAATCGGTCCAACTGATCTTCTCCATCCTTCTCCAACACCACATTTCGAAACCTTCCAGATGTTTCTGATCTACTGCCCTAAGTGTTCATATGTCCATGTCTCAATTTGCATTTGTCGGAATACAAAGCTTCTAATCACTGGATGATCGTGAATAACGGAAAGAGTCGTGGCCTAATTTAAATTATTAATCAGATATTTGTTGGAGGTTCTGACCACAGTGGCCGCGCGGTCTGAGGCATGAACTGCCTTCGCCCACTTGAACATTGGGAGTCATGGGCTCGAATCTCACTGGAGGCATGGATGTCTGTGTGTGTTTATTCTGTGTTTCTGTTATCCTGTGTATAGGTAGCCGCTTTGCAACGGGCTGATATCCCATCCAAGGGGCTCTACCGTCTGTGTATAAGATTACTAAACTGGAAAAAGCGGCCACGGTGGGTTCGATCCCGAGTCTGGTCAAATGGGATTTGTGGTGGACAAAGTGGCGCTGTGGCAGGTTTTCTCCGAGTACTTCGGTTTCCCCTGCCAATCTTCATTCCACCAATTGCTCCACAATCACCCTCACCTTTTATCTGGGGCTGGTACAATAGGCCAGAAGCGGCTGCAGTACAAGGGCTAGGTTCTGTCCATTGTGTTCTCGAAAACAAATATATTGTTCGCTGTATCTTTGGAAATAAATTCCGTTACTTAATGAGCTTCTGACACGTCACACTAATGTTACCATAACAACATCATTTCACTGCTTTCAGATTCCTATCTCAGTGCTGCAAGCGGTGAACCAACTCCTAGGTAAGTCCTGAGCCTACAATTTTACATATCGCAAACTTGTAAAATTTTATATCAATCGAAAAAATCCAATGATATTTTGAATCGAACCCACTGCCTTCCGACTTGTAACATAATGCCTCAACCGACTACGCTACCATGTTCTCCTTGGTGATGCTGCAAGCCATAATGAAATTTGTGCTGTAAGAAATTCAAATGGTCGTATTTCAAATAACACGGCTCTCTGCATTACGTCAGACATGATACAAGAACGTTTATTTCTACACATGATTAGCTCTATATCATATATTTTTCAGTCTTAATGATAATTTATGATGAGATGTATCTGAAATGACTCGTGTGGGAACAAAAATTTTAAATAATTCAGATTAAATTATATAAAATATGTTTAGCACTGGACGCCCCTGAAGATGGTCGTTTGAGGCTGCAAAATGTGGCGCTTCGCAAGAATTTATTAACAAAATACTGGATACATTTGCCCATATTCTTCAACTGTATTCTGACTTTCATTATCCCTACAGTGTTATACAGAGTGTCCCAGGAGCAAAGTCAATATTATGGGAGGCCACATTACCTGTCATTCTAAACAATAAGTGTACATGTGTACAATTTTGAACGGTTTCCGAGATAGAGCTGTTTCACTGTACAGTTCCTAAGTTGTTGAAAACAAAGAGATATTACGTACTGTTTCTAATACCGAAATTTATTTTTCAAGTGACAAAGTTGGTACAGTTTACCTAGTGTAATACAGTTTCGAAAATTCCACCGTCAACGTCAATGCACTTTTCAACTCGTGTAATTTCATGGCGTGTTGCTCGTCTGTACAGTGTACAGTGTACAGTGTACAGTGAAATAGCTCTATCTCGGAAACCGTTTGCAATAGGACACATGTACATATACACCTTTTGCTTAGAATGGCCGATATTGTGACCTCCCAGAATATTGGCCTTTGCTCCTGGGACATTCTGTATCAAGGTCTCCATAAATGTGCCTAGATGGGGGGCAACAAGAAGCATGAGTAACATTACAGCAGCAGAAACTCGTGAACAGATATCAGTTTTGTATGTAGAGAAAAAAGACTACCAAATACTGAAGCATTTCAGACTGTTCTGGTTGCTTTGCCTCCTGCTCGACCCTGAAGTTGTAGGCAGTGTGTCTCTCCGAAGCAGATCAGGTCATGTAGGATTTATGGTGGACAAAATGACGGGGCGAGTTTTCTCCTACAGTCCATTCGCGGAGACGAGAGAGTCCTCGTAAACAAATGCACGCGGTATCTCCTTCGCTCTTTGAATGAAATCATGCAGCGATCACGTGATGCGTGTATCGTTGCAGGGGCGTCCAAAGTTCACTCTTCAGTCTGAATGCAGGTTAACGTCCGAATGCAGTGAGTACACTGAGTAACTGCGCGCTTTGTCCACTCTTTGCTGTCAGCTGTGGCGACTCGGGGCTTGTTTTGTTTACGCTAACTGTCTCGTCTCCGCGAAGGGACTATAGTACTTCGGTCTCCCCTGCACATTCGTTAATCCTTCCATCATCGACACTATATAAGATCCACACTGAGGGCCTTGTTTAATGTGAAGCTTAAACAAATACGCGGTGTTACAGCCCAGAAGATACCAATGTTTAATGGGTGTGACAGTCACTTCCACCTAGTGATCAGCGTTACGTCCACGTGACCCATATGCCTCCGTGGAATGGCGATTATCTGTGATCCCCCTAGGGCCACGACTGTGGAAACTGTTATACTGATTGCAGGTGGAACGTCTAAGAAAGGGGGTGCCAAGGAAGTGCACACCCGTGCTTATGCATCATCAGACTCAGCATCCTCGGCTTACGCTGGAGACGACGGTCATGGCTCCAACACTGCTCCACGGCGTACATTCTTCGACGACATATTCAATGTAATTTGTCTGTCTCTTTCTACCTACTTGATTCGCAGTTTATTCGTTTATTTCTCATGTGTGTCCGTCCGTCTGCCCATCCATCCTTCTCTCCGTCCATCCGTCCGTCATTCCTCCGACCATCCTTCTATCCACTCGTCCGTCCATCCTCCGTCCTTTCTTCCTTCTACCCATCCCTCCATCCATTCATCCATCCATCCAGCCAGCCAGCTATCCATTCGTCCTTCCTCCATCCATCCATCCATCCATCCTTCCTTCCTTCCTTCCTTCCATCCATTCATCCATCCAGCCAGCCAGCCAACCAGCCATCCATCCGTCCATCCTTCCTTCCTTCCATCCATCCATCCAGCCAGCCAGCCATCCATCCAGCCAGCCATCTATCCGTCCTTCCTCCGTCCATCCTTCCTTCCATCCATCCAGTCAGCCAGCTATTCATCCGTCCTTCCTCCATCCGTCCTTCCTCCATCCGTCCTTCCTCCATCCGTCCTTCCTCCGTCCATCCATCCATCCAAAGTATCTTTCTTTCTTATGCTCATTATGTCTCTCTTTTTCTTTTTACGGTATGTTCTTCTTTGGCACGTTCGTAACAAACTTGTAAAAATCTTCCTATTAGCATCACAATGCAACAGCATGTAACAACTCGATAATCGGTGACGGCTTCTCATTAAATTTGGTATTGGAAAGTTTTACTAAACTTTGCCCATACATTCTAAATGTTGTTCAAATCGGACAACGGACACTAGAGGGAAAACCTTCAGACCTTTCTGGATTCATCTCGAGGCTTAATTCTTTAAATACTCATCGAAAGTAAAATTGTGTGGAACAAAATTTATAGACAAAATCGAAAAATAAAAATATTGCATTCCCAACAGACATTTTGCACGTCTTCCAGTTTTCGAGATAACTAAACGAAAGGGATTTTTACGTAAAATCTAGAAGGAGTAACTGCGTGAACAGTTAAACACTATGAGTGCATTTCCTAGTTTTGTTTACTTCTCCCTTCCAATAATTTCTCTCTTTCTTTCCTAATCTCTTCTTTCTTCTATTCCTTTTCTCTCCCTTACTTTCTATTATTTTTTCCCCCAGTATATTTCCATTGATCCTTTATCCTTTGGCTTTTCTTTTCTATCTCCTTGTTATCATCTTTTCCTATTTTTCTTTCGTTTTCTTTTTCCCTTCTTTTTCGTTATTCAAATTGTTTTCCATTCTCTTTTTACCCCCTTCTTTACTTTTTATTCTACAGTTTCTTATTTCCTTCTTTATCCCCTTTTTTATCACCTTCCTTCTCTCTTCTTTTATTTTCCTTCATTATTTCCGTCCTTAATTCATTCTTCCGTTTTCTGTCTTTCGCGCCTTTCTTGTTTCCCTCTTAATTTTTCTCTCTTTCTCTTGTAAAATTTCCTTTTCATTTTTTCTTTTCTTTTTTCCTTCTTATTTTTCTTAATGTTTTATTTCCTTCTCTTTCTTAATTGCTTCTTTATTTTATTTTCTTATTATTTCCTTGGTTCCTCTTCCCATCAAATATAGTTTCATTTTTCACTTTTCTTTCTTTCCCGTTTATTTCTATTCTCCTTTCTTGTTCCTTTCTTCTGTTTCCTCTTCCTGTATCGCTGAGTTTGCTCAATAACTATTCCCTTGCATGGGTTTCAGCATGAAGGCTACCGAAGTTTCACGCTTCTCCCAGCTTTCGCACAAGCATACAGCATTCACAATGATTTCACTTTGTACCTGCAGTGCGACAGAGGGCTTCTGTGCTTTATAGAAACTGAAGAGAACTCTTTTGGCTTCGTGACGTCTGAAACACTAATCAGAATAGTAGAAAGACTATTTAACCTCGCGTGTATGAAATTGTATCTTGTGTACAGTAGCTGCACAGGAAATCTTACTTACTGAAGAAACCTCATAAACATTTTTTCCAGCAGTTTTGCATGATATTGTTAAAGTCAATAACAAAAATTATTCTGAAGGCCGTGGATATGTACTGTGCATTATTTGATCTTCGCCATAGTCAACATTAGTCTGACATAAGTAAATGTCTCCTTATTGCTACGGCCATTATAATACATGACTAAACACAATTTCCTTATTTTAATAAAATAAAAGAAGGCTTATGAGATAACATTGCTATCTGTCTCTGTCTGTTCATCTGTTCGTGTATCCTCATGATTTTGTAAGCTTTTGGGTCTTATGGGATCACTTTACTGTCTGTGTGTCTGCATGTCAGCCTAATTTATTTGGTTTTCTATGCGGTCCGTATGGTATAAAAGGAAAGTGGACGAATAATTCTTCACAGAATTTATTTTTATAATGGCAATATCATAATTCAAACTTCCGACAGTAGGAACTTTGGTTCGATCCCAGGACAGAAGTATCAATTTTGTGTCTTGTTTATTTATCTATAGTTCATTCAACTGCCTACACTACAAATTGATGGCTGATTGGATGGTAGTGATTAATTTACTGGATATGATATGCAACGAGGCAATGGTGGCCTTATTTAAGGTAATATCCCGGTATTTACCTTGAATGGCTGAGAAAGATCACNTATCCTATATCCATTCCTCTCCTACATCATTCGAGCTTCATGTCCTGCCCATCTCATCCTCCTTGACTTAATGTTTCTAATTATAATTGGCGAAGAGTACAAGTTACGAAGCTCCTCATTATGCAGTTTCCTCCAACTTCAAATCACTTCTTCTCTCTTCGGTCCAAATATTCTCAACACCCTCAGTCAAGTCCACCACTACTGACATTACCAGAAGGAAAACGTCGCTTCCCAACTTCCGGGCCGCTGGCTTGAATTCCAAAACGAAACCTGCATATAAGCAACAAGATGTGTGGGACATGTGATCATCAAATTAATTGGAAATTTTAGTTGAGAATTCTCAGATTGTTACAAAATTTCTAGGTCCGTCGTTCGGTCGGTAAATTTCTTCTTGGAGGGGAGAGAGAAAAAGAAAGAAATTTGGGAGGTAGTGAAACATTACATGGGGAAGGGACAAGAAATTATATCTCCGGTTTTGAAGGTTCCCAGGCAGTGCCCGTTCATCCTTCTGTAATACATACGATCGTGATTAATTTTTATGTGACGCTGGAAGGGCTGCACTTCATTGACATTTTAACTAACGTTGGGAGGGCTGCATGTGAGGCATGCAGTTTGGCTACCAACTCAGCATTTGCTGTAGGATCGAGGAAACCCACTGAAAATCCTGATCCTCTTGGGGGATCTAACCGCCTAAGTCTCTTTAATACAAAACACGGACCGCATAGAAAATGAAAAAAAAATTAAGGACACACAGACAGAAATGTGATCTAATAATGTACAAATTTATGAGGTACATACAGACAGATAGCAAGATGATTTCATAAGCCTCCTTTTATTATTCGAAATAAGCAAAATAGGCGAATGAGTTCTGGGAAAAACAACACTCGCCTCGTTTCCTTTGTTACGACACGAACCTCACGTAAAATGAAAAATTAGGGGGCTATTAAGACACACAGACAGCAAGGTTGTCCCATAAACCTCCTATCAAAAATTAGAGGAATTTAGAGAGACAGACAGAAACGTGATTTCATAAGCCTCATTTTATTATTTTCAAAATAAGGAATATAAGGTAAAAAGAAGCGGGATACTGAGGAAAGATAATATTAAAATGTATCTTAGATAAGTAGGATGTAAATAGTGATACTACTGTCAGATGACCTACAACAGGATAAATTAGTTGAGTGAGCAACGAGGCAAATTCGAAATGATGGACATCCACACAGAAAGAGCATTTGTAACACCTATGGGTAGCTGGGGGGTTACAATTGAAATGAAACCAGAAGGGCGTGTAGACTGAATTCAGTTTACCATAATGAGGTCATGTAGAGAGTAATTCTGGATACAGTAACGAATTTTCGGATTCCATAAAAGACGAAGAGTTCTTTTTTTACTAATTAAGTTATCATCTTGAGGTATGCTCCATGGATTTTGTGATATACAAGAGTTGTTCAAATGAAACCCATTCACGGCTCTCCTATGGAATACGTACCAGAAGTATGCCACGAGCTCTGCAACAGAACGGGCACCTGAGGTCAAACAAGAACATCATGAAAAGGGTAACTGCCCGCAATCGATGCGCTGAATCCGTCAAAATTCGTCTAATGAAATATCTTTCTGGTATATCAGTGAACGGGTTTCATTTGAACGGTACAATAATATGAAAATTTATCTTCCTCTGTTCTGTTCCAGATTCCGATTTCGGCACTTAGATCAGTAAATGACCTTCTAAACACGAAGAACCAAGGTGAACGGCGTTCCGTCCGTCTCTAACGTACTAAAGAAAACTTCTAACAGCTATACGTAGAGATTATAAAATGGAGGCGGGACCTGTAAAATAAACACGCCAACGGCACCGTGACTACTGAGGAAGCTTATAATTGTAGGAAATTACGGGCAAATGTCTTATTCTATTTCGTTTTGGCATAAACCTGTTGGTCGCACCCAAAATTTTACTTTGAAAAAGTTGTGTCAAAATAATTTTAGAATACCTTCTTAGGGACTAATGTAGTGATTAATACATTGATACTGAAATGTTCTTTCTCGGTTGTCCACACCCGTCTGCAAAGTGTCAAATAATTTTCACAAAGCAGTGAAATTGATTGTTGTACAAGTGGAGCAATACGTCTGACTTAGGAGCGTCTGTACCATCTATGTGCACATAGATCTATGCAATGGCACAGAATGCTGAAATGTAACATTATGGAGTTATACGTGACGTAACGTGCACGTGAACTCATATTCGCAGGAGAAAGAAGGGAACACGTGACGTCACTGAAATGTTAAATATAAAAACTGTTATTTTTATATGCAGTACAAAATAATACTGAATTATATCTATATTCTTAGAATCTATGTAATAAATATAAATTGTTCGGCAATGTATGAGTGTCAATAAAATCACTCTGAAAATATAAATCTTCACTTGCATTTCTTCGTTCCTTGAAAGCATAGATTTCACTCTACTTCATAATATTGTAACACGTAGGGACCCGTTGCCAGGTAACGACAACGATACAACTTCTTCTGCTAGATACCATATTCTTAATAAGCCACAATTGGACACCAATAAAGGCTATCGTTACCATTTTCACGTGTAATTTCGGAGAACATGTTGGTATTTGAAGCCAATAGTTCTGGGGTCAGAATAAAGTATGTACAGAAGGATTTGGGATTTCTATTTCGATTAATGTGAAGACTTCTGTTGTTTAGGATGTGACGTCATTGTTTATTTTACGACGCTGTTAATATCTAGATTATACAGTATAGCACCACATGATAGTGTAATTTAGTTTTGTTTAGTGTAGTGTAGATTAGTTTAGTTTAGTTTAGTTTAGTTTAGTTTAGTTTAGTTTTGCTTATCTTAGCTTAGCTTCGTTTATAATGTATTTTAGTTTAAATTAATTTAGTTTCGTTTAGTTTAGTTCAGCTTTGTTAAGTTGAGCTTAGATTAGCCTAGTTTAGTTTAGTTTAGTTTATATACAATTTAGTTTAGTTTATATTTAGTTTAGTTTTAGCTTAGCGAATGAACTCTCATGAATTGAACTAATTCCGAGGAAAACCGAAAATAGATCATCATCTCAAACAGTTCGTCTATTACTGCTTTTATTCGTTGCCATGTATACGTGTTTTCTGCGAGCCATTGTCTAGCAATAGACTATTCTACCTCTATTTGTTGCAGCGGGAATGTGTTCACCAAACCGTTGTCTAACAATGGTCATATTCGTCATAATATTAACCTTTCAAAGCCAAGTGTTTACAATGTACGAGTATACCACCTGTTTGAACAAAATAAAATTCTCCATTCTGCCCACAGAGAATATCTGTAGATGTCGTACAGTTTTCACAATAAATGCGACCGTAAAATACAGATCAAAAAGGTCCTCAGGATGATAACAAAATTACCGCGTGTAATATAGCTTGTAACCTTACATGAAGAGAAGGGAATGCCACTGATAAGAAGTCATTTCAAGAAGTTGGGGAGGGCACTGTATCGAAAGTCTGTAACCAGTGAAAACAGCGAGTTTCAAGAACTAGGACACTACGATCCCATCTGTGGTGAACATCTGCGTCCCCTGTCCTTGCTTGTAAGACAATCCGCTAGGTACAAAGAAGAACTCCATGGTTTTAGTCCGCAAGCGAACTATACTGACCGAGCTACCGCCGCTTGTCGACGAAATTAGTGCCAGCTTCAGCGGATAGAGAGTGTCGCGTGGTCAGAGCAACGGATCCCCACGGCCGTTAATTTCGGTTTTCTAGACCGGAGCCGCTACGACAATCTTAAATAATATATAAAGAAATAATTAACTGAAATTGGTCTTTATCACTGTCTCAATACATACATCATTCTGGACACCTCCCCCCCCCAAAAAAAAATTAACATTAAGAGAAAATGCCTCTTTACAGGTAAACAGAATATTGAAAGCTTCCCAGAACGTCCAGTCCGTCGGCGGCCACATTTACCAATTACCTACGCTGGATAATATGGAAGAAGAGGAGAAGCGAGATTGAATACGAACTACAACATACAAAATTCTCTGTTATTGGATGAGCAACAAATCTCATATAACGTGCTATCCCCGCTCAACGCCCAATATATTGTCACGTGTTGGGTGTATAACGCGACAAATAACTTCACGCCTTATTGGATATAACGAATTTTATTCCACACTCGCTCATACAATCACACAATTTACAAGCTCAACATTACTGCCATCGGCAGTATCACAAATACTGTACTGCATACTCTTCCCTGGCCAACTCGTAACTAACTCTTGAATAGTCTTCGCTGCTCCTTATTTATCCCCGTTACGGACAACACAGAAAACAGTTACGTAATAGGCACCACTGTTGTCTGGCGCCGTGTTTGCCGATAGCCTAGGAACGCTGTCGGGAGTTGTTTACTGCTGAGTAGCAACGGCGGCATCCCGTGTTACGTCACCGCGGGAGTGGGCGGGGTGTTGACTGGCCTATTAACATAGCAGCGACAACGTTCCGAAGGTGCCACGTCACCGCTGACGGGGGAGGGCGTGTCATGCATAGCGCAAATGCGTCACAATATATTCAAATTCACCAATACTAGAATAATAACAAATATAAGTATATGTATGTTTCTATGCATACATTCTCTTTGCAAATGTTATACACAACTGTTTGCTGCCCGTCCAAGTTATTCACACAAAAGAAATAGCTGTAGAAACAAACACGTGAACAGTAAAGACAGTAAATAATAATAAGTTTAGCGTATTTAATACCGGACTATAGGCTAGAAGTCAGTGTGCATTCGGAAGTTCCTACGATCGGCCAGCTAGATGACGGTTTTCTGAGCCCTAGAGTAAATACTGAGTTGGTACCCAAATTACCAAGTTGCACTGCATGCTTTACATGCAGCCCTACTGGAGGCAAGAATAAAATTTCTCTCTAATGTAGCCCTCCCAGTGTTAGATCAAATTTAACTCCAACGTCATATAAAAATAATTCAGATCAGATATATTAGCTGTACAAGAAGGACGAGGGGGCACAGCCTGGGAACCTTCAAAATAGCCCCCTCCACAAGTGTAGTGTCTCTCTCCCTCACACACGCACGCACACAAGAAATTCGATATTTAAAGTTTAGAAGTACGTGTATTAATGCATAGATTCTAAAGACTTCTGCCGTTGGTGGATGACACATAGAAGTACTGGGGTTTACGACTTTTTCCATCGTCCGGAATTTTAGGTAGTAGACGATATGAAGTTTCAAAAACTGGATCTGTTTCCATCTTCAGGTGAGAAACAAAGATACCTACTCAGGTGGGTTCCTTACGAACAGCTAATCTCAATTATTAAACAACTGCTCTCAGATTTACCCAGCTATTTCAACATATAGGACTAGTCTAGTTCAGTGGGCGATAACAAGAAACCATAAAATAAAAATTATGATAGAGCACGCACATGCGTGGAACAAGGATAGAAAAGGAGGTATAAATTTGTGCTAGAAACCTAACTGACAAAAACCAAATGCATGAGCACCAATACGAAGAAGAAGGAAAAAATTGTGAAGACATGTAATATCTACCACTAGTGCCATCTGTCCTAAACGCCAGTAATTCTGTGTATATTAATACGATTTAAAATCAGTTGCAGGATCCGGATCTAGCCTACATAGAAATCGAGTAAACTTTTTCAACCCGTTCAAGAGAAAGGCTAATTTACGCCCGTCTATGTACATAAGAAAGCCATGACGGAGCTGAACTACTATGCACAGAATTCAATTGTAAAAATTACGACATTCTGCAATGAAAGAACTTTCCTTTCTGTTTTGTCTCTTACTGCACATGGGAGCGGTAGAGACTGCGTTCCTTTAGGCGTATGTGAGAGAACGCTAGCACATACGTACATGGTTGGACAATCCAAGGTTTCCAGGTTAGCATTCACACAGAAAATATTACAGGTTTGTGACTTTTCTCACACCGTATGTTCGACCCGAATGTGAATACTGTGGGCTGTAATCCACAAATGCGTTGAAAATAGAAAATGTACTGCAATGAACATAACATACACGAGAGTAAAATTGTGAAAACTATATTGTCCTGTCGGATTGGACTCTTACGTTTGAATTATGGATACAAAGAGGATGAAATCTTATAAAATACTGTAGCCGAGCGGTCTAAGGCATGTACTGTTTTGGTTCGCTTCGAAACCGGGATCGTGGGTTCGAATCCCACCCAGGGCATGGATGTTGTTTCTGTGTGTGTGCGTTTTTCTGTGCGTGTGTACAGGTAGAGGCCTTGCGACGAGCTGATCACCCGCCCAAGGAGTCCTACCGAATGTGTAAGATCTAGAAAAACCGAAGTGAACGGAGAAGTTCATGGAGGTAGGCCTAGGCCCACTGGGGCTGTAGTGCCAAGGAAAAAAAAAATTAAAAATGGATCTTACAGAAAAGTGTGCGTATACGTGGAGTGGCTTCAACAACTTCACGATAGGAAGAAAAGGTTTTTATAAAGACGGTAGTGAAATTTTGTTTCCGTAAAAGAGACAAATCTGTGTTGACAGGAATTTCGTAACTCTATACAGGTACACCATGCAGTTAATTTGGCATATCCATTTATTTATTTAGCTTTCTATATGCATACCTCGAAGAGGGACGTAGCCGATCGCAGTGGCCACGCGGTCTAAGGCATGAACAGTCTTCGCCCGTTCGAGTTACACTCAAGACATGGATACCTGTGTGCGTGTATTCTGTGTTTCTGTTGCTTTGTGTGAGGGTAACGGCTTTGTGACGGGCTGATCCCCCGTCAAAGGAGTCCTACCAACTGTGTATAGAATCAAGAAACTGAAGAAGCCTCCAAGGTCAGATGGATGGATAGACACAACTGGAGACGGTCTTTAAAACCCATACCACCGAATGTTACTTCACTAATTTCCGTTACATCACATGCAAACTGCAGTTCTGA